TTTTTGGAATGACTGTGACCTGGATGACTGAGAACAGCATCCATTAGCCAATGGATATTTGTCAGAGCAGTGTTTGAACTTAAATGAAAGCAGGTTCTGAAAAATAAGTAATTTTCCAGAATGGGTTATAGTTCATATTCATTTTTAAAGATGTGGGCATAGCATCAAAATATGCACTGATGGTTCTAAAGAGTGAAACAGGCAGCACAGGAGCAGTAGTAAACATCCTGCAAAATAAGAACATCAAATTTGTGCACTCTGTACTCTTTAAAGTTGGGGCTGTTGCATTAGCTCTATTGGTTGTTTCATAAAAAAAAAATGGAAACACAGACAAAGCTGTCATTAAATCTGACAGTCTAGCTGTTTCAATTAGTATAAATTAGTCCGATCTTGTAGAATAGTTATTTAAAATGTATTCAATTGTATTTATCCAACCCTGTAAAAATTATCCTGTGCAATAATTGTTTCCATCCTTTTTATACAAATTATTGTCTAAATATGCATAAATATTAAATTCTCAGACATTTTGGTTTTTATTTTTGCCTTGAAAACCAAAATTCTTCTCCAGGACCTGCCTGCAATGTCCAGTTTTATTTGCCCAGTAGCAGCTGTTTTTCTCCAGAACTTAACTTGTAAATTTTCAGATAATTTAATAAATCAAAATATCATTAAAGAGTTATTTTACTTCAGTAAAAATATACAGACTGATTTTTAACCCTTTATTTCAACCAGTTATAATTTTTCACTAAAGCAATTAAAAATATTATTTCAGGTTATATTACATCTCACTGGGAGAGCTTCCACTGTTCTGGGATATAACAAACTAACATCATTGTTGGACAATGTCTCCCATCCTGGATGCTGTTGCTGAACTGCAGAGCTCCTTCTGTAATGTTCACTGGATCGCAGATTCTCTATCTCAGCAGCTGTAATACATCATAATCATTTGTTTTAGCTATAACATCACATCATCTATATAAATCCGGCAGGGGATTTTGTGGGTAACTTAAAAGAAAATAATTTATTATAAATCTATATAATAGTGG